GAAAGACCACGAATATGAAACAAGGATGACAGGAAGGTAAAATATTTATTAGACTATCCACAAAGCCTATGTAGTTGACTTCTATGATTACTCCCCATTCAAAGCCTATATACTTTTATCTCGACATGAACTTAACAAATTTGATTAACTGGTTTTCTGTGCAGTGGTGCATCAATTCACAGTGGAGTCAGCTAGAGTTACACTGATACAGTTCCAACAAGGCAAGGAGACAGCCTCAATGTATATGGGTATATATACATCTACATGTATGTATACAAGAAGAAAGAGGAAGGAAATTAGAAAGCAGAGCACTATGGAGGGTAATTAATAAGTGGGTCTTAAGCTTGGAAAATCTTGTTGTGATGTAGCAGAGCCCCAGATTCAATCATACAGCAAGGAAATCTAGAAAATGTAGTCTGGTTGTGTGCCTGAGAGGAAAAGGACATAGTCTGATAACCAGTTAGTTAAACCTGCCACAAATACTGGGGTTCTTGATGATTTCTGTATTACAAGTCACTGCAAACAAACAAACAAACAAAATCTTATATTTAGTATTTGCCACTTGGGGCAAACATCACAGGTAGATCTCATTATATAGAATCATATCATTTCTTTTCATTTTTGTTTGTACTGTCCTCGAGATTAACCTATATCACCAATTAACTCAATATATTGAAAATCTTTTATTATATCAGTTGAAGTGCATAATGCATGAAAGAACCCAATTACTCTTTTGTTGAACTGGCAGAATAGGCAAACAGATACTGATCTCCCCTGTTTCTGTCCACGGAGAACAATAAATATCAGCTGATAGTGCATGAGAGAAACAGCATAAATGGATAAAGATTAATTCCCATGGGTTTAGAAGCAACTTTGTAAGGAGGAAATGATTAGTAATTTTTCTAATATATTTTCCCAGCAAAGAGGCTGGTAAGACCCTGATACTTAGAGTATCATAGCAGGTACACTCTTAGGAACTAGAATGAGTAGTCTCTAGTTAAGAATAAAACCAGTTTTAATTCTTTAGAAAGATTAAGGTATCTTTCCTATCTCCTTTCCCATATCCATCCTCAACAGGGAGACTTGTGAAGTGAAGAAGTGGTCTGCCTATGTGTGGCTGCAATAAAGCAGACAGAAGTGTTTCTTTTGTGGGAACAACAGAAATGAAGAGACTGTAGGAATGTAGGGAGTTTGCAGAGTCCAGAAGGATGAATTGGAGGAGATCTGTAAGTTCTGAGCAGAGCAGTCAAATAAGGAGGAAGAAACAACTTCTATGGTTATGGAGAATTGAAGTACAGATGGGTTAAGCAAATAAACTGAAGGTCTTGTCTGAAAAACTGACCAGAATGCGGCCTACTGCTGGCTTTTACCTGCTTTCCAAAGTATAGAGCCTACTGCATTGCAAGGGACAGGGATTGGGAAACTTTTTTTTTTTTTTTTAATGGCACGGCATAAATTCAGTATTCACTCAAACTTACCGCCAAAATATTTAAAAACATGAGTAGAGAGAAACGAAAAAGCTCAGGGTTTTCATTGGAAACATAGTTACATAATTTCACAGATATGCACACATCTTAAATAGTATCCCATTTAAGGAAGGAAAAATGTCTTGTTTTATGTAATGTTTCTTTTGACATAAATTCCTCTCTCCCACTAAATACCACTGTCAGCAGATCATTTCATTATTAACTTGTTCACTTAAAGCACAAAGCAGAGAGCTAAATTCATCTCCTCCAAGAGACCACAACATCCTGTACCTGTAGAAAATCATGGCACTTGCCATATTGTATTGAATTGAAAGTGAACATATCACCCTTTCCTCCGTAAGCTCCATCCACTTCAGATCAATGTGTCCATATTTATATTTCCAATGCCTTACATGCAACCTAGAGCAAGATACACACCCAGTAAACATTTTTTGGTAGTTAATGAAACTGAGTTGCCTTCTTCTTTAGCATCTGTTCATGTGCAAATACTCTTGGAAAAAATAACACATTAATTCAGGCTCCTTCCTAACATTTGCAGAGGCAAGAGCATCGATGAAGGTCCACATACCATAGACCTAAATAGTTATATTTTATAAATCTAACTAATAAACTGTTAAATAAAACATATCCTAACTTCTTACCTAAAAGAAAACCCTTCATATCAACATGATAAAAATTGTATGTAATAGCAGTTATATTCTAAGATGCTAAAAGCTGGAAAAATGCAAAAGTTAAAATGTAATTATCAATATGCATATTTGAGTGTTATGCTTAGATTGGTAATATTTTTGTTTTTAAGTAAATGTATGCATAAATCAGTATATTTTTTTCAGAAAATATACTTTCTCACTTTTATTTTAGCAAAATCACTAATTTGTTCTTATAATAAAAATTTTCAAATATTTTATATTTGGCTTAATGTGGTGCCAAACAATACCTTTCCTAAGTCACATGATATCTGCTTATTTTCACTATTTTCTCTTTTTAAAATTAAAGCACACCTTCACTTTGAAATGTTTTCTCTCTTTTTTCTTTTCAGCCTTTACTTTTTCTAAATTCTACCTATGTATTTTCTTTTTCTACCAAATCATAGTTTACACACCTTATTAATATTTAAAGGATTAAAAAATAAAAGGTTGCTGTATTCAAAATATACGTTTAAGTCTACAATTTATACAAAGGTTCAATTTAAACTTTCAAATAGAAAAATTAAAACAAAATGATTTCTATCTGTGTTCTCAGATACAGTTTATAGTTTTCAGAAAGTTTTTTCTAAAGTACTCAAAATATTTATTTAAATGAAAACAAAATACAAATTATAAATATTAGATATAAACTTCTATGGTAAATCATTTGAATACAGTTAAAATTTAGTTAAGCCTCATGTATCTAGATTTTAAAAATAAAATAAAACTATTGACAATTTTAACATTAAATGGCCATCTAGTTGGCAAAGAAGTATCAGGCTTCATGTATATTAATGTAGAAATTTACATACACAAATTTAAACATCATATGAATTATTTAATATTTAACATAGTTCTCGACCATTATGTGCACTTTTTTAAATTAATGGTACTGCAGAGATTTATGATTATCTTCAGATGCATACAGTGGAACCAAAGGAAAGTAAGCAATGGGTGCTTCTTAATGATGCTTGATTATGCAATAATCTACTGCATTTCTGCTATCTAAAGGAAGAATTTGGCAAATTAATTAGTTTGCCCCTTCTCTTACCTAAGTGCTTCCAGAGCACAAATTTCTCCCCACACTCTAAAGCAGTATCTTCCTGTTGTCAGCAGTGGTACAACCTGCAAACCTTGGTAGCATTTGGACACTGTCACTTTTTGTTTCTAGGACACAGGAGGCAAAATGGTCCAAAATGTTTCTCTGGGTCTTAGAGGACATCAATCATAAGAGCAGGTGGTGTTACTCACAAGAGGAAATGCTTAGTATTCTGGCTTGTTCTGTGCCAGCGCCAAGTGTAAGATCCCAAGTGAGAGAGGAGCCCAAGAGCTATTTAATGATGAGTCTATATTTATGATAAGTTGAACCTTCTAAATTCATCAGTCCCAAAGAAAATGTCTCCATTGGTCTGGGTTTCAGGGTAGTGTTGTGTTAAATTTGTACCTGAGTTTATCAAGTAAATGTTTTCTCTTAAAGAGCACAGGGATACTAGACATCTGAAGAGAGAGGTTAGGGGAGAGCTTATACTGAATGGTGAAAAGAGTGAAATGAATTTGGAGGGAGCTAAAGCAAAATATCATCTTGACTAAGATTTTGTTTGGAAGTTTGGCCTAGAAGTATTAGTTTATTACTCTTGTTTCTATGTGAGTACATGTCTTTATGTTCCCCTCCCTCCCTCCCTCCCTGTCTCCCTCTCTCCTTCTCTCTCTCTCTCTCTCTCTCTCTCTCTCTGCTCTACAACTTGTCTTGAATTAATCCTTGTTCAGATAATTTGAAAATGTTGACCTGGGGTTGAATTCTCTCTTACGTTCACTATTGGGATTTCAGTCCCTCATATCAGGTTTTGAAAAGCAGGGATGCCTTTAATTTGTTTATAGCAATCTAATTGCTTTAGATAGTGTTTTAAGAATTTAGCTTAGAATGTAAAGTGTAGGATGTTTCTGCTATAAATCAAAGTCCTTAGGAGACTCACAGACCTCAAGCACAATTTCTCAGAGGGCACATTCAACCTGGATATAGCTAGGTATATTTTGGGTTTCATTGTGTTTATAGTTGTAGCGAAAATTGGCCAAATATTATTAAGGAGGGAAAAATAGCATAAACATGCTCAGTAACATTATTTGTCTGTATTCCCCAGCACTGTATGTCCAGGTCACAATAGCTTAACAACTGTGTTAAGCTATATTTTTTGAGCAAGAGAGAAAAAAATGCCACATAATAGGAAATCCTGCTAAAAATGTATCAGAAAAGCCAAAGGGTGTAAGATAATTTTAAGTAAACCTACAGAATGAAGAAGAAATCATATGCCTCATAAGTTAGAGCTATTTTCTCTCCTTTTCAACTATTTTAATGCTTTAGGGGGTAAATAACTAGGCCAGAAATGTGATCTACTCACCTCATATCTCTATTACTAATTAATCAATGATTATAGCTCCTGACTCATGTTTTATGCATGCTTAGAATTTTAATTCTCTCTGTCACTTTGCATCAAGCTAAAAGCAGTGAAAATATGAACATTTGCAGATAAATAGAGAAATTTTAGTATGTTATTACTCTGTAACTACATCAGACTTTTCACATTTTTTAGTAAGATGGATTAGAACATTGAAGTTATTTCGCATTACTGCTTGACCTATTCTATGTGGGACTTATAATTATTTCTTTATTTTGTAAAATTTTAGGTCTGCTTTTAGCAATTCATTATACCTTTACATCTAATATACTATTTTCTTCCTTTTAGAAATTCTATTAATAAAAATAGATTGGAACATAGCAGCATTGTTGGCAAACCAAGCTTTATTAAATATTTGATTTTATCTGTTATAGAACATGAAAATCAGCGGTTATGCAAGAGCACCGATTATATGAACTTGCATTTCAAAGTTAAATGGTTTTATAATGAATATGTGCGTGAACTTCCCGCCTTCAAGGATGCTGTTCCTGAATACTCCTTGTAAGTAGTGATTTTCACACACACACCCTCAGATCTAATTCACAGTCCTGTAAAATTATACCTGAATTGTGCAGCACTAAAATCTCTTCACATAATCTTCATTGGAATGAAGAAATTTCTGTTACGAAGTTGACATTACAGGATTTGCATGTCTTTGGGAACCGTATGTAATTAAATTGTGTTGCATATTTCAAATACGCCCTACCTGGATAGTCGACTCAAAGATAAAAAATACGTAATAAGACGTGGCTCGTGATAAAATGAATGATTTTCTGTAAAAGTACCAGAACACAGATTTTTTTAGGGGAAAGTATAGTGCTTGTATATTGACCGATATATTCACATTTTCCTTTTTATTCAAACTTGTAACTATCTTAGGAATTTGTATTTCTAAAATAGAAATAGTGGTTTAACAGGGTACTTTTTCATAAATATGCCTCTTTCAAACACATTTATAATCACACAAGGACTCATGTAATATTCTGCATTTGGTATGTATTAGAATTCTATTTTATTCTATTGAAGAGGTCTTCCCTATGCCAGGCACTTGCCAAGTGCTGTAGAGCAACAGAAAAGAAGCTAAAGACTCCACCCTGAAAGGAACTTATACTCTAGGAGATTCTGATAAGCTCAAAGATCATGATAAAGCAAGGCAGAATGAAATGTGTGCTAATTTAAGGAGCATAAGCAAAGTGCAATAGGGTTTCACAGAAGAGAGAAATTACCTCTGTTTGGGGAACTCCACACAATATTCATGGATGGGATAGCATTTGATGTAGACTTTATAAAATTTACCAGGTTACAGAAAGGAAAGGGAGAAAAAGCATTAAGATGAAAATGAAAGTTATGAGCATAATTATGGAGGTAAGAATATATGAGCTATCGTCCAAAGGAAGTGAGGCATATTTGTATTTTTATAAAATTAGTACAAAGTAATGTTTTTAAAAATAATGTAGGAAAAGTAGTTTTAAGCCAGATTGTTATAAATAAATATTGTGAAGCTTGTACCACATTCATCAGGCATTGTGGGAGATGGAAGAGACAAAGAATGGGGGGCAGAGAAGAGATTTAGAAGGTAATAAGTGATTTAGAGATGAAATTAGAACAGCCCTTTAATACAACTTTTCTCATACAAAGTATATAAGAAGTAGTGGGACAGTGGGATAACTTAAAAATGCTATATTATTGGGTATAGGGTGTTGGGGAGATTTTGGTCAAAAGATACAACATTTTAGTTAAGTAGGAGGAATGAGTTCAAGAGATCTATTATACAACATGGTGACTATAATTAGTGTATCGTATTCTGAAAAGTTGCTAAGAGAACATATTTTACATGTTCTCACCATAAAAATGATATGTGAAGAAATGCGTTTGTTCATTATTTCAAGTTAGCCATTCCACAATGTATATGTATTTCAAAACAACATGTTATACTCAGTAAATACATACAACTTATTTTGTCAAATAAAACATACTTAAATACAATAAAAATTATAGTCTTCACGTTAAATAAACTGATAATGTAGAGTGATTGCAGTACGTATACAAAGGGTAAAGACATGGAAGAGAAATTTTGAAGACAGAATTTACAGAATTTGTCAATTAAAAAAATATGGGGTTAAAAAAAAGAGGAAAGGTGAAGATTCCTTAAAGAGCTAAAGGTAGATCTACCATTTAGTCCATCAATCCCACTTCTGGGTATCTACCCAGAGGAAAAGAAGTCATATACCAAAAAAGATCTCTGCACGTGCATGTTTATAACAGCACAATTCACAATTTCAAAAATGTAGAACCAGCCCAAATGCCCATCAATCAACAAGTGGATAAAGAAATTGTGGTGTCTGTGTGTGTGTATATATATACACACCATGGAATACTACTCAGCCATAAAAAGGAATGAAATAATGACATTCACAGCAACCTGAATGGAATTGGAGACCATTATTTTAAGTGAAGTAACTCAGGAATGGAAAACCAAACTTTATATGTTTTCACTTGTAAGTGGGAGCTGAGCTATGAGGAAGCAAAGGCATAATAATAATACAATGGACTTTGAGGACTTAGGGGAAAGGGCAGGAGGGGGCTGAGGGATAAAAGACTACACATTGGGTATAGCAAACACTGCTGAGATGATGGGTGCATCAAAATCTCAGAAATAACCACTAAAGAACTTATTCATGTAACCAAACACCACGTGTTCCCCTCAAAACCTATTGAAATGAAAAAAAAAATTTAAAAAAAAAAAAAAAAAAAAGGTAAAAAAAAATCAAACAGCATCAGAAAAACAACAAAGGCAACTTGAGAATCTAAGATCTCTGAGAAAAGAGAAATGCACTAAGATGAGTCCTGTATTTTGTTGCATCTTCTCTCCCATGTTCTTCACCCCCATACATCTGCCAGTTTGCAATACAGTGCTTGCAGAGCAAATGGCCAACAGTAGCTCAGAGTTTACAGCTGTCTTCCTGGACTGGAGAAACAATATGGGTGATGGTGCTATGAAGGCTGCTTGGGTTTGTGAGACCAAGATCCCAGAGAAAAGCAAACCACAGAGATATGAGCACAACATTCCACAGGCAGTTCCCACTGAAGGCATTTTCTGATGCCTAATTTGCCTACGTGTTGAGATTGGGGCAGAAAAAAAATCAAGTAGAAAGTGGGCACTAAGAGATTTGGAACTAAGTAGATACATTAGCAGTCTCATAGTGCGGAAGGGACAAATGTTAGAGGTCAAGGCTGGTCCCCTTTGTGCCTACTTACAGTAACAGCCTCTCCTGTTGTAGCAGTAACCACCATCTGATGCCTAATAGCATAGGTTAGTTTTACAGATTTTTATGCTTTATATAAATGGAATCATACTTGTGTACAAAAAATAAGAACGAAGGAACATTATAAACAACTCCAGGCTTTCAGATGAGATCTTTGAAGGTCTCTGCCCTAGAAATAACGGCAAAGTGGAAAGAGATCAATCTAAAACCCAACACTGTCTAGATCAAAGGTCCACAGTTTTTCATGGGCAATATATAATATTCATCAAAAAATTAAAGGCTACCAGACAACAGGACTAAATGACGATCTGGAGATTATGCTTCTTCAGCAATAAATTGAAAACTCAGACCCCCCAAAAAAACAGTAAAAACAAAGAAGTTTGAGAAATATGAATAAAACATTTAGCAATATCTATCTATATAGGTATCTATATTTCTATATATATATCTGATCAGCCAGAGTTTCCGTAATTTTTCATTGACAATGCTTACACACAAAAAATCCATATAAAATGTATAAACAAAAATGATAAAATACATATTGTTATTAGGTACACACGGTACATTTACCAAAATAGACTGTCTCCTGAGCCATAAAACAAAACTAATACATGTTAAGGGGGGAAATCATGTATTATATATTCTTGACACTGTAGAATTAAGATAAAAATCAACTCCAAGAAGATAATTAGATAACTAAATACAGAAAATCAGCAGAATATTCTAAATGCTCATGAGTAAAGAAAGAAATCATGGTAAAAAAAAATACAAAATATTTTGAATTTAGTGCTAATAAAATATGGCACATCCAATTTTGTAGAATGCAGCTAAAACAGGAAGTAGATGAAAATTCAAAACATTTTTGAAGTAGAATTTTGAAAGTGTGGTCTATTTAAAACTTCATTAAAGTTCTGTATTATAGCTACAATTGGAAAATTATATATAAATTATACCATTTAAATAACATTAAAATCACCAGAAATAAATGTGATGAATGGCATACAAGCCATCTTTTCAAGCAACTATAAAATATTATGAGATAAATTTAAGATGAACTAAATGAAATATGTAACATTCCTAAAAAGATGCATTATTATAAAGATAGTAATTCCCCACATGGACCTACAGTTTCAATGCAACCCTATGCACATTTCAAGAGATATTTTTGTGCAAATTGACAAGATTTTTTAAATGCACGTAGAAATGCAAAGTGCTTAAAAATACAAAGGCAATCTACAAACTGGAGAACTACATTATTGGTTATCTAATAAGATCGAGTTCTTAAGAGAGTGTCATGTTAATGCATTTCTCAGTCCGTTCTCACACTGCTATAAAGAAATACCTGAGTCTAGGTAAAAAAATAAAAATAAAAATAAATAGGTTTAATTGGCTCACAGTTCTGCAGGCTGTACAAGAAGCATAGTGGCTTCTGCTTCTGGGAAGCTCCCAGAAAGCTGTCAATCATGGCAGAAGGCAAAGGGGGAATGGGGCATTTCACATTGGGAGAGCAGGAGCAAGAGAGAGTGAGGCGGGATGTGCTGCACCTTTTTAAATAACCAGATCTCATGAGAACTCAAACACTATCACAAGAAGAGCACCAAGGGGATAGTTCTAAACTATTCATAAAAACTCCACCTGCATGATCAAACCACCTCCTACCAGGCCCCACCTTCAACACTGAGGACTACAATTTGACATGAGATTTGGTGGGGACACAGATCCAAACCATATCAGTGCATAACAAATGAACCAAGGGAACAAAATAGTCCAGAGGCCAATTCACGTGTATGGCATTACCTGATTTACATCAAAGATGCAAATTCAATGCAGTGGGGGAATAAATGGTGCTCTAAATAAATGGTGCTAGATCAACTGGGCATACATACAGAAAAAAGAATTTATGCTCAGAATGGAGAAAAAATATCTTAAACAATTTCCAAAATAATTGTCCGTAGATTATAGATAGTAACTAAGAAGTCTGAGGTAAGCACCCAGGATCAGTTACAGGTTAATGTCAATGGGTAGAAGCTCAATGGCAAAGAATTAAAAAATTAATAAATGGGTTGATAGGGAAGAGAGCACACAAGGTCTACATTTTACAAGAGTTTGACTTTTGAAGGGAATTACAGAGTAGCTATTGGAAACTAAGCATATTTGAGACAGCATGGGAAGAACCAAGACTGGGTAGAAGTTGGAGGTAAAGAGGAGGAGATTGATTTGATGGAGAACAGGTAAATGTCTCTAAGACCTTTACTGCAAGAGAGAATGAAAGGAGATTGTTGATTCTGAATTACTCTCATATACAAAAAAGAGCAGCATTCCTGTTAATTATATGCAAATGATGTCCTTTGTGGTAGGTAACATTATTAATTTGTTACAGGTGGTTTGAACCTTTTGTCATGCAGTGGCTAGATGAAAACGAAGATGTGTCGATGGAATTCCTTCATGGAGCATTGGGAAGAGACAAAAAAGATGGAGTGAGTTTAAATTACCTTCAGAATGTTCATTGCCATGTTTCAGTCACATTGCTTACTTTTAACCTAATGGGAATTATTAGATTCATCGTTATTAATTGTTTCCATTCCCCAATGACCAAAATTAATGCAAAACACAATTTCAATGGTCTGGTCAGAACCCTAGAAACTTGCCTAAATTTATTAAAAAAAAAAAAAAAATCAGTCACCCATTTTTCCCAAGTTTTTCTTTAATCCTTACATTAATCTGAATCTACAGGTTCCCTAAGCTTGTACAAAACATCTTTGTTGTCCTGGAACTTTTCCAGGATTTCTAGATTAGGAGCAGACATCCTCCCAGTTCCTCTGCAGCAGCTCCCAAAATCTTGAGCCACAATCGACTTGCTAAGCTAACCTATTGCCTGTGGGGAAAATGAAATACAAAAGAACCAGTACCTCAATTCTGCAGTGGAAAAACCAATTAGCAGCAGCTTGCCCCGTGATATTAGTTCCACCACACTTTCTGGCAAAGGAAATTAATGATTTTAAAGTGCGTAGGCATTTTATTACTGGGAAATGTAGATATATGATGCGGGAGATTCAGTTGTTGATGGGAAGTAATGAAGAATTTCCCATTCCCCCTCTAATGCACTGTTTGGGATGGCTTCACCTCCTCTCCTCACAGTTCCAGCAGACATCTGAGCATGCCCTCTTTTCTTGCTCCGTGGTTGATGTGTTTGCTCAGCTGAATCAGAGCTTTGAGATTATTAAGAAACTGGAATGCCCTAATCCTGAAGCGTTATCTCACTTAATGAGAAGATTTGCAAAGGTAGGTTAAATAAAATGAGTCTTCTTTTTTTCTGGGTCTGTGGCGATCTGAAAAAATGCTATTGTTTTGTGGTGTTAGTCTTCTCTGACACCCCTACCCCAATTTATTTGTAATTCTCTACTAGTAAGTTCAGTTATTTCCAAGATTCCCATCTGATTTCCTGCACTTCCTATTTCTTTAATACGGATTTATCATCTTAAAAACCCATTTATTGTTCACATCGATGACTTAGCTACTTATAATCGAAGAAATTACCATAGATTTCCAAATTACTCACATTTCAAATGTGGTGTCTTCTAGCTAAAAGTAAGCCTTGGCAATTGCATATTCATTAATTAGGAAGACTAACCTCCTACTTTTAAAATACTAAATAACAGCCAAAAATCATTTATTTAAACCATTCTTAGAGATGACACTCTTAGTCCTCTTGGATGATACTAATTTCCCAGTATAGTGAAATCTATAGGAGAGTAATTCTAAAAATTCTCTAAGTGTTTTCTTGATGAGCAGCTGTGTTTGGGTGAATGCCAAGAAAAGAATGAAACTGGGTCATTAGGAATAGTGTTTGAAAAAGTATGTCACGTACTATTCTTGGAATTCTGTAGGATTTAGAGGAAGCAGGATCATATCAGAATTTAAAAATCTCAAGGTAAATATATTTAGGTTAATATATTTAGTAACATATTATAATTGTACCTGATATTAGAAAAGTAACTAGAATTCACCCTCAGAGTAGTCAGGCAGGTAGGTTATGTAAGTTGGGAGACACGAGTGCACGGTAACAGGGTAGAAGGAATGCTGAATTGAGATTTCTAGACCCGGAGCTCCAGCCACCCTTTGGTAGCTCTGACTTTTCTTCAGCTGTAATACTGAACTTACCCACAATAAGCCTGCTGGGGTATAACCAAATGTACTGAATGGAAGTGTAAAAAGGTGGGAGGTCACAAGGAAGGTCTTAGAATCACACTCAGGAAAACACATTCTCTGAGGCAAGAAGAAAAGAATCAGTTCCATGTATTACTGAGGAGATGTGTGCTTTTATTGGCGCAATAAAAAAAATCAATTAAGTAAAACATTTTTAATCCATGGAAATTCAATAATATCCAATTGTCAACAGGAAATAATGTAATAACGATGAGAAGCATTTTCTGGAAAAGAAGAAATTAGTAATTTTCATTGAAAAAGAAATTCTCTTTTATTAGAATGATTTGAAAATCTCTTGCAAGCATTTTTCTTTAACTCTTGCAGTGACTTACTATACAGAATAATAAATAAAAAGCAAAATCAATTAAACATAAAAATAAGTAAAATCAGTCAAATCCATTTTATCATTGTCAGCCTTTCTTTTTTCTTTTTTTCCTTTTTTTTTTTTTTTTTTTTTTTGAGACAGTCTCGCTCTGTCACTGGAGTACAGTGGCACAATCTCGGCTCACTGCAACCTTCACCTCCCAGGTTCAAGTGATTCTCCTGCCTCAGCCTCCCAAGAGTAGCTGGGATTATAGGTGTTCGCCACCATACCCGGCTAAGTTTTTCCATTTTTGGTGGAGAAGGGGTTTCTCCATGTTGGCCAGGCTGGTCCCAAACCCATTATCTGCCTTTCTATCTATAATTTGTATTTTATATAACAAAACAGATAAAAAATGGTTTGTGTTTACTGTAATTAGCCATTTCACAAGAACTGCAAACTATTGGAATTTGTTTTTATTTCATCAGATGTGACTGACTAATTCGTCTTGAAAACTCTACCCTTCTAAGTATTGGAATCCTTATATCAAAATATTCTAAAATCTCATTACCTTTATGGGATTTATATTGATTTAAACAGTCTCCTGGAGATAAGACATATTAATTGTATCTGTAGAGATTTTTAAAATTTTGCATTTTAAAATGGGATTTAAAGGGACAATTTATTCTTACTAAACAGGATATAAGACTGAAAAAGGTACCAAACAAAATGCTTCAAATTTCATGTCAAGAACATTCAGAAGCTATGATGAGTGATAAAATGGGTACATGAGTAGTCAATATTCCTATGACTATACTACTGCTCTTGACAAGTATGGGTAATTTAATTTTAAAAATAGATATGAAGTAATGTTATTTTTAATATTGCTTAAAAACAAACAAACAAATATTAAGTCCTGGGTATGAGTCTGGCTGTTTGCCAGGTGTGAGATACTGTGGTAAATGACGCACACATATTTCTATTCCTTGTTCTCTGGGAACATAATTATAATTTTTAAAAATAATAATGATAATTCATTGAGCATTATTATATGCTAATCACTTTATATATTTTCGTATTCTTCACAACCATCTAATTAAATGGGTGCTATTATTTTCCCTCATTTCCATCCATGATGAAACACTAAAAATGTTTAAATAATTGAAATGATATGGATAGAATCCTTTCAACCACTAAACTATACTCCCTTCTCATTCTGGTGTGATCAGAACTAAGTTAGAAATTTGGAGAATAGAATCTCACTATTTGTTTTTTACCCTTAAGGTCAAACCCAGGCATTTATGGTAGCAGAAATGGGAGACCCCATCTTACGTTGGATGTGTTAAAATGCATTACATAAATCAGTGAAATCACATTTCTAATGTTGCTGAACCAATAGACAGTTTTCTTGTCTTCCTTGTGTTGTTCTAATACTGCATTGTTCCATGCATAAAATGTGAATGAAAAGATGGATTTTGAACCACACTTCTTATCTTACTGATCATAACAGCAATGCACTAGATGGAATAACTGGAAGTGTTGGCAGGATATTTAGCCCACTCCTAATAGGGTGGCATTAGCTCAGAAAAACACAATGCCTTTGTCTGAGTAAATTGATGGCCGTCCTACTCAATACTCCACCAGTAGCTGTGTGTCAAATCAGAACTGATCATAGCTGAAAGATATTTTAGTCAACCTGTCTGATCCTTTAAATGCAGCAGAATCACTCTCTGTACTGCCACACTGCCATTAGAATTTCATGTTATTTAATCTGGAACTTTTTGAATAGCAGCTCTTTATAGGTATCCATAAAAGAACCCTCTACTCCTCATGACTGTTTCTTTAGAACAAGATGCAGCAGCCCCTGCTAGGCTGTTTGTTCCCTCCCTCTGCACTGTAGTCTCTTCTGAAGACCAGTAGTTCCCCAAAGATAAAATCATGACCGAAGCACACACACCCAGAAGTCCTATGTTCCAGGCCTTGCCAGGTGCCCCTTCCATCACAGCTCCTCTCTGAAGACTTACCTCCACCCTGTCATGCATTCGTTAAGATAGTGCTTCTCAAACTTTGTATGCATTGGATACATGCATCCAATGCATTGGATACATGCATCCAATGCATCTAAGGAATTACCTTAGACTTGTTAAAACCCAGACAGATGGGGACCACCTCTAGCATTTCTGACTCAGTAATTTGGGATAGGACCAGATAATCTGCATGTCCAACAAGTTGCCAGGTGATGCTTATAATGCCACTGATTCCAGAACTACATTCTGAGAACCAATGAGTTAAGCATGTCATAAGCAACAGCTTATTAGTATTAAAGAGCTATTGTGTGGTAGTGGTTTACTTAGCTGAATAAATTAGAATGAAATTGAAGTTGCCCACAAAATGTACATTGCACGCTCTCGTTCAAGTGACATCGTACATTAGTAAAGATGGGAGTTATTATAGCAGTGTACTTGCAACTCTTACAGGCACATAGCTTTAAGCTATATTCTTTTTTTTTTTTTGAGACAGTCTCGCTCTGTCACCTAGGCTGGATATATTCTATATGACTGTGCACTTTTTCTTACCTGCAGCCCATCCTGGCTTGCTAACGATTGGCGTTTGTAGGCTAGTACATGTGACATCCCAGGATCCCTTGTCTCTAAGCATAAATTCAAGGGACTAGGTTTTTTCTATGAAGTATACTCAAGCTGTAGGCCATAGGGCATACTTCAAGAATGATTGTAAAGAATATCCAGCTTCCTCTTTCTTCTTTAGAAAACAATAAAAAAAAAAAAACAAAACCCAGGCTGTTCAGCAAGTCACCCGGCAGCTGTAGGATGTAGAGGAAGCAAAATCATAAGAATTTTAAAATCTCACATGGCACTAAGTTGTAGAGGATTTTCACATAGCCCAAACTTTACCTTAAGTAAGTTACAATGTCTGAGTTACAACGATTGCCTAAAGTCAGGTTTATGGTTTGTGTTTATATGTTGTTGTGTATGCAATACAATATAATGATTCTTTAAGTTTATGATGCCATCAAGAAGCTGTAGACTGAGAGTAGTGTTCATATGTACGAACGAATAAGTATTTCATAGGTAAGTCCAAAGTAATTCAATGTTATGTCTAAAGTAAAATTTGAAGAGACACATTTGGAAGATAATTCAGTCTGATCAACCATCTGTTTATCAGGATTTATTGGTCTGCTGCTTGATAACATTTTATATTTTTCAAGGTCAACTTTGTATTTGAGTTGATGCATATTATCACGTTACTGTGTACTTCAACACACTATTGATTTTCTGTCTGTGTGTTATCTCTTATTTCAGGATTTCATTGTGATTTTAAAAGTGTGTAAGCAAGCTTATAATCAATTTAGCAAATTCAGGTTTATAAATTAAACATTCTTCTTCAGCTTAACTCTTTGGAGTGTCTCCCTCAGTTGATTTTGAGCCACTAAGAAAATTCAGATATATGTTGTACAAATAAGAAAATAAAAGCTTTTTAGTCTTTACTTTGCTATCAAAAGAGATGACATTTCTACTGCTATTTGCCTTACCTCTTCTAAGAAAATCATATCTACATTCGGCTTATAATTTAATCTGTGTATAAAAGCAGTAGAGTGCAAACTCATTCATGCATCTTTAAGTAATTGAAATAAAATTTAATTAACGTAGTTTATTTTTCTCTGTTTTGCATAATTAATGAACGCAGAGGGCATTCTTAGGCTCAGAAACAGTTATTAGAGAGAGAAAAAAATGTAGAACTAAGATGAAAAAGGCAGCAAGAAGGTAACTTAGGATTCAACTTTACAGTGTATTTGTAAACTACATACTTACCTGGGTCAAGTTCACAATGTTTTCTTTCTCAGACTATCAACAAAGTGCTGCTCCAGTATGCTGCAATTGTATCAAGTGATTTCAGTTCCTATTGTGATAAGGAAAATGTGGTAAGTAAAAATGTCTCTACTCTCAAGTATCTCTCAGCTGAGATTTACTTCTTCAAAGTATGAGTAAGCAAGAGAAATTGTTGGCTTTCAGTTTTCATATAGGATAATAAGAAATAAGGATCTTAAGAAGTTGAAAACTTCTCCAGGGTTCTTGAACCGGTTTTAATACAGGATTTACAGGAAGGTTGAGAGTGTCTCAGTGCCAGCCAACTTGTGGTTTTCCATGTAATAAGGAACAAGACTAGAATAAATAATTGAAAATTCACGTACTCATAAAATACTGAAGCTGGGAAAAACAAGAGACTTAAAAATTAGATGAGTATTGGCACCAACTAGTTTCATGTTGGCACTAATACTAAAATAAGTGTAATTTAGTCTTTCAGTTTTCAAATAAATTGCAAAGGTTAATATATGCAACAATGCTGATTTCTATTCTGAATCATTAAAATAGCTTTTTTAGATGATTGAGAAAATGTTTATAAAATTCAAACTAGTATTGAAACTTAATAAAAGGCATAAAGAAAAGCAAGATAAAGGTATTTGACATATAGTCAGATTTATTTTATGATGGAAGGTGAAAGCTTTCTTATCAATCCGTAATATTAGGAGAAATACAATGGCAGCATTGTAAACATTTTGAAAAACAGTAGCTCTGAAAAAAAAAAGTGTTTAAAAAATGAGTATAGGGTTTTTAAAAAAGAAAAAGAAAAAGAAAAACCAGTTTTTCCCCCTCAAAAAATCAGTTTCGCTATCAGGTGAATCTAAATTATTCTAAAGAAAGCTACTAGTTTTCTCCCTGAAACCTCATTGACCTCTTGCTGACAGCTCATTAAGATAAGTCAGTCCTAATGGTTCTTGAGAATTCTATAAGGTGCTTCTTTTCCTTAAATTAATATGCTGCCCAGCAATTTTACTAGAACTTTTTGACAACTCAAACAATGATTTCTAATTGCTCTTGATTATTCTCAAAAGGCAAGATATTTATTTATTGAAAGTATGTTATTTCTGATTAAAAGATAATACATGTCTAAAGTGTTACATTGAAAATGCAAACAGTATCTGATAATTTCACAAGAGGATCTTGTTTATATTAGGACAGCCAAATTGAAGATTTTGAAAGGTGGCCGTGAACTCCTAAGGCTAATTCCTGCCATTCAGAAAGGCAAATTAGTTTTTAAAAGCCCCTGCAGAGTTCCACGTTATATATTAACATTCTATATTTTACATTGAATAAACACTGAGATAAAAATCATAACCCAGTGTTTATTATATTATTCTATGTACCCTTTCTGTAGGTTTTATACTTTTAAAAATTAAATCTTTATAAAAAGAACCAAACGCCCTCCAAATATTACAACAAAGGAACTTCCTTTTCCTTCCCTTGGTGCTTTTCCTCCATAATTACTAATATCTTGACCAGCCTTATACACTATTGCTTAAATGCCAAATATCATTTTAGCTTTTATAAAAGAATATCACTTGGTTACTTGGCTTATGTTTTCATTCAAGGCAAATTGAAGTGCTTTTGTACATTTCCATGAGCATATATAGTTACTATTACAGATACTTATTTATAATTATTTCAATATAAGATTTCAATATCAAGACCACTGAAACTTGTACATCTTTCAGTATATCTATGGTAATGTAAATTTCATCTGCAAATTGAGCTAGAAGCATCTAAAGATAGACATCATTTAAGATATGAGCATAATATAGGCCAGGTTTGGAAGCTCACACCCGTAATTCCAGCATTTTGGGAGGCCGAGGTGGGCAGATCACCTGAGGTCAGGAGTTCAAGACCAGCGTGGCCAACATGGTGAAACCCTGTCTCTACTAAAAATACAAAATTAACCAGGCATGGTTGAGTGCACCTGTAATCCAAGCTACTTGGGAGGCTGAGGCAGGAGAATTGCTTGAACGCAGGAGATGGAGGTTGCAGTGAGCCAAGATTGTGCCATTGCACTCCAGCCTGGCCAAAAAAGAGCGAAACTCTGTCTCAAAAACAAACAAACAAAAAAGATATGGCCATAACATTTGAGTTCTCAGGATTTAGAATTAAAGACCAGAGTTAAATAAAATATCCATGTCAGAATAATTTGTTTTCTATTGTAACATTTTAAATTTGAAATGGGTCAAAATATTTTTATTCATTTTATTTCGCATTCCAAAATATAGCAAGACATCACAATCTAAATTAGAATTACTTTTATTTTGAATAATTTAAAAAATATTTTTAAACTCAGAAATACTTCGACCATGTAGAAATATTCCTAGTCTGAAAGACACTAACTTTCATATTCACTATGTTTCAGTTTCCTGACTTTGTTCCAGATTGAGATATAATTAAAGGTATTATTGTATTTTTAGGGAAAAAAATCAAGATATGAAAATGGGAAGATACAAATTACTTTAACATAGGTTGTTTTATCTTACTAAACTCCTCAAAAAGTAATATCCTTGAATTAGGGTAATGTTTCCTTTGCTGTCAGTTTCTTTTTTTCATTTACTATGAAGTTGTTCTTTTTTTCATTTACAATGAAGTTGTTGAAAGTAAAAACTTTCATGATTAAATTTAAGGTGAATTTGTGTAATCTGTTCCCAGGAGCAGTTTGATGAATTGATTCAGTAAAATTGAACTTTGAATATTTCAAGGTCAGGGAAATGTTAATGAAAAGGGAGAGTCTCGTATTTATTTTTGTCTCCCTCTGGATAACTGCATCTCTTTTTTTTCTCTGTAGTCTAACTTGGGGTCAATAGCGATCCATGTCAAGTGAGCCAAACTGTCCATGTTCATTTGGTTCTCAGTAGCTCTTTTTAATCAGAAATCATCATAGTAAGAAGAGTTGGCAGCTGGCCTTTCTTTATAAAGCTGGTACTAGGGTCCTGTTATATGTGACAGTAAAGATTAGCTTGAATGTTAATATCAAATAATCTAAGAAGAGTCTATCAAGCTAACTTAGACCTATGGGAAACCAGGTGATAGTAGCCCCTCACCCATGTAGTCTTACTGCTTCTCATTATAAGTCATTGTTTTACTTTGACCTTGGATTTCTCCCTGATGTGATTGCCCAGATTCACACCAAATCTTCCCATTCTGCAATTAAAAATAAGTGCCAATGACCCTACCTCCTAGTGAAAAGATAGGCTATTCGCTTAGTTTGTAGACTTGGGTCAAGATGCTGAATCCTCTGAAAATGTGGCCCTACTCACTATGGAAAGGACTAAGCCCAGATCAAGTAGTACTCAATCATGGCTATGGATCAGAATCATTTGTGGAACATTTTGATTCAGCTAATTAAAACAGAATCTTTGGGGGATACATCTCAGATATCTGTGTTAAAAAATAAAGTTTTTAAGTGACTGGAATCAAGGAAACAGAAAGGAATTTTTAAATTGTTTGCATAAATCAAAGTGATGATGTGGTCACTTTAAGAGTCAAGTAGAAAGTTTTTCAAAGGTCATTAATGTGGCTAAAGTAATAATAAAATCTTTCCACTGATAAGAGCTAACACCTCTCTGACATCCCGTGAGTCCTTTGCATGACTCTGGTTATTGGCTTATTTCCCAGCAACTTGGAAGATACATCCATTTTCCTTCCTTTGTCTGTTTATCTTTCTGTGTCTGTTTTCCTCTGATATACTGGCTCTTAGGAATCAATATACAGCAAAGATTAAATGATTCTGTAACTATTATGAATTGTTTTCTAATTGTGGATTAATTTTAACTATTCTAAGTTCACATCTAGACCTGTCACAGAGCTTTACATCTTTGTTATTGTTATATTTCTGGATCCTTGGAAACAAGTAGAGAAACATTTTCTAAGCCTGTATTTATTATATGTACACCACTGGGCAGTAGTTTGTGAGTAAGAAAAGCAGAAAGAGACACAGCAGCATGTACAATGTATTTAAGGTTGGCCGGTGAGAGTGAAAACCAACTCAAATGTAAAGCAATATAAAACAAATGCCAAGTGAGAGAGAAGATAAAATCCAGGAAAAAAGAACACTCTAACCTAAATGATGGATATGAGTCAAATAAGCAAGGAGGAAAATGAGAAGAGAAACACGGGTTAAAGCCAGAGGCAAAAGGCTTTGAATACCAGCATGTGGTCTTTATCTGCAGCCAGAAAATATATTTAAGTTTATTTTTTATATGTTTTTGCATATAATAGAATCACATGGTATTTTGTTTTCTAAAACAGTAAAATAATAGAAGAATTTAAGCTAACCTTTTTCTAAAAGTAAATCTCTAAAAGCAAAAAATGTGCTTACTTTCTAAGTATGAAATGTTACAATGTTAAAGATAAAAGAAACTTTAGCAGCAAAGTTTTGCTCCAACGGTTTATTGTCTGAGTATGTTATTAAATTTCATTCCCCAGTGTGGCATTATATTTTTCCATTTCCCTTCTTAACTGTTACAAACTATAATGTCGAAATGGCAGAATTATTATATACATCAAATATACTAGGAAGCCAAGATAGCTATTTGTAACCACCTGTTAAGTTAAACTCATCCAACAATTTTATATAAAATCGTTGCTCATAATATTCTTTTTTTCTATATTTAAAGCCCTGTATCTTGATGAACAATATTCAACAATTGCGGGTCCAGCTGGAAAAAATGTTTGAATCCATGGGAGGGAAAGAGGTGGGTATCTTCTCCTACGTTTGCTAAAATCTTACTTAGAGATTATTAGCAGCGTATCTCTTGCTATGAAAGAGTCTTAAGTTTTAACATGGCTAACTAAGAACGGGAGTTGATAATAATCTAAAATGTCATTAGCAACTAAAATGATTATTATCCACAACAGAATACTTTAGTACACACATTAGAAGTATGAGTGGGAGGCAGAAGATAGTAGCCTTTGGTCTTATGTGTGTGCGCATGTGTGCTGGTATGTGCAGTCACATATACACGCATATATATTTGTATGCTAATGATTTGTAAAGTTCCATAAATTGTGTTTTTCACTGTCTTGTACAATGTCAGTTTGATATCAATGTTCTGAAATATGCTTTGTGGTGCTATTTGTTTTTGATGTACTGGTATTTAGTTTATTTTTTTTTTGAGAGGAGTCTCGCTCTGTCACCCAGGCTGGAGTGCAGTGGCACAGTCTCGGCTCACTGCAAGCTCTGCCTCCTGGGTTCACGCCATTCTCCTGCCTCAGCCTCCGAGTAGCTGGGATTACAGGCGTCCCCAACCATGCCTGGTAATTTTTTTGTATTTTTAGTAGAGACGGGGTTTCACCATGTTAGCCAGGATGGTCTCGATCTCCTGACCTCGTGATCCACCCACCTCGGCCTCCCAAAGTGCTGGGATTACAGGCGTGACCCGCCGCGCCCAGCCGGTAGTTTATTTTTCACATCGAGAAAGTTGTCAAAAATGTGTTGTGTGCTGTGTCTGTAATGTGTTGTGTCTTTGTCTAACATCTTTGACTTGCAATTCCATGAGCAGAAGAAGGAAGGAGAAAGATTCTTTTATGAGGTTTGTGATAGTAAGCATCTTTTCCCTTACCTGGCTGTTTCCTCCAACCTTCACTCCATACCTAAAGATCATTGCATTTTCTATTTATTCTCATTTGCTTGTTTGGAACAGACAGAGAGTGAAATACTAGCTATGCACCTGCATCTTCCTGCCTGCCACAGTCTTCTCTTTCATAAACTGACCTAAGCATTCAGGGATTGAGGACTGGAGAAGGTGCTGAGAGGGAGGGTCACGAAGCAGGGTTTCTCCCCATGCCCTCAGTCCCCTTGAAACAATCTCAAGGGCAGCTATGTCAAGAATATGTAGATAGATATTTCTGTTTAAGATTCCTTTACGTTGTTCCTTCCTGTGGGAAAGTTTCTGAGATGTGCGTAATGCTAAGATGCATTTCAAAGTAAATATCCCTTTTATTTCTAAATTTATGTGGCTACAAATGTTTCTTTTAAGATTTTCTTCTTCCCATGTGATTTTGCTTTTAACCTCAAGGAGATGTTTTTACACTTCCCCAATGTCTATTTCTTTTTCAGTATTTTGAAAAATGAACTTGCTATTTAGCATTCTACAATGGAGAAACACTAGAATACATGTGCGATGATGCAAAACTTTAAAAAAATGAACCTTTATGAGCTGTGCCTTCATTGCAATCTCAGTTTTATTTGTATAAAATAAGGCCTCATTCCTTGAAGTGTGTTAATGCTTTATGTAAAGTTTGAGGCCATTGATCTTATTTTGAAATTATTCTGCTGAATTAGGTGAGCACAACCAATTAAGGAACATAACATGAGATTTCCTTTTCAATTTTACTGATGTTTTATATTCAGACTTGAAGTCCACCTAGCATTTAGAAAAATGATGAAGAAATTATTGATTTCATCTGGGAAATATTATCTCCTTTCTGTAAATTTTAAAGCCCACAAATCATTTAAGAATAAAGTTCTATTAAAATGTCATATTTCCATAAATTTCTCCTTATGCTACTTATGCTATTTCATTACTATTCTGTGTTTGAACTCTAATGTGAATAACATATTGCTGAACTGAATTTAATCAGACAAATCAGACCTGTACTTAGAGGAAACTGTATGGGCCAAGTCCCTTGCTCATTAAAAATGTTATAAAGTGGCTTCTTCACCAGTCAAAACTGAATTCCTTATTTCAGATAGAATTGCTGGTTTGAAATATACAGGTTTCACACTATATATTGTATTTCAAATATATGACTAAACCATATAACTCCTCCTCTTATTGAAGAAAATGATGAAAACAAATACTGAACTTGGTGCCTTCTCCCTTTAAAACTCTTGCAATGTGTATTTGATAAAGTCCTCAGACACAATTTAAGAAGAAAACGTAATTAAATCAGTGAAATAAAATGAATGCCTAGATTCTAACAATGTAATCTGCTCCTTTGTTTTTCTAAATATTTTTTTCATTTATTTCCTTCCTTTCTCTACCCTTTTCGGTGATTTTCTATTTCTCCTGTTTTCTTTTTCTCCTATGCATAGATCTTTTCTCTTATTCTCTTCCATTTTCAGCTCAAAGTTTTAGGTAGGGCCAGTCAGAGTTGGCACAGAGATTGATGAAATGTCAGGAGGAAGCAAGACTTGCATTCAAGTCTGAGTGCATCATGTGTCCTCCCAGAAAACAGAAGCTTAATTGATACAGAATTATGATAGAGTTTCTGATTACTCTGGAGTCTCTAGGCAACATAATTTCAAAATAATAAGCAGAGTTCTTCCAATATTGTTGTATAAACATAGCAGTATCTAAATGGTTTCCTTAACTTAGGACTTTTATAAAGATGAAAAAGGATTTGATTGAAAATTACAGCATTCACCCTTTGATATGAGAAAATTACAGAATTCACCCTTTCATATGCAACATGTGATACAGACATGTTCAGGGGCCTTTAAAAGTTATACAATGTGTTCCAATTCAAATTCCCATTTTTTCCTTGCAGTGGAACTGGTTGTAAAACCTTTGACTGGTATTGTAACCAGTTCCACTGTAAATAAGGGAAATATTCCAGGCTAGACCTTATTCTTCTTTTAAGAGTTTCTTTTTATTTTATCCCGCACCATCTGTGCTGAGATACGTACTTCTTGCTATATAAATTAAATAGCAAATAATTGCTTGTGCACTTGCTCAAAATGGTTTTTAATGCTATGTGTTTATTAGTTGGCTTCTAACAACAGCATTGCTTTCCTCTAATATTATACCACCTGCAAAGTGCTGGCTGCTTACAGGCATGACTGTGTGCTGCTGCAGCTCCCTGCTGCTTTAACCTGATCGCCGTGTAGTTGAGGCAGCTGTTTTTTCTTCACAGAATCAGCCTCTTTTCCCTCTGGAAATAAAAAGTGTTTAAAACCTTTCTTCAGTGGAAAAATCCATTCTCTGTATGGAGTTCAAATGGAAGCATTGCTTTAACACCATGATGATCTTGGGCTTATGTTTTTGACAATGGTTCCTAAAACAGTCACTTAAGCAATCTTTGTTAGACAGTTGCATGCACAATATCCTATGGGCCATGTCAGCACATTTACTTTCTAATGCCCTATTTAGGGGGGAAAAAAAGTCAAAAGAGAAAAGCAAACCACTAATTTTCTTCTCCTATAAAAGTGATTTTCCAACATACTTCTCTGCATACAAATCAGGGGCATGTTTTGGCATAACATCTCTGATTCCTCTAGAGAATATAAAAAAATAAATCTCACAAATCATGAAGAAAAACTAACCTTTAGGACTAGAGTACAGAGTCTGTTTCTTTAAAAGCACCTCAGGGGATTTTTTCTGTGGAAACAGTTTTGGGAATCACTATACTAAAACAAATAAAATAGCCAGCCCATGTTATAGATGTATTAGAGCTACAAGTTAATTTACACTACAATCCCCGTACAATATTACCTGTCCCTTTTTGACACAATAACAACAAAATGATTATCAGGGTGCCATGTAATAATTTTCATTCATTGGTGAGTGATTACTTTTGGTTACATTATGTTAATAGCTTAATTATTTCATGAATATAATTTATTATCTATCAATTGCAAATAATTACTTAGCTTGTATTCATTTTGTAATAAAAACACATTGCTGAAGCCCATGAAAAGGATTTATCATTAATTTGCAATCTAATATATACAGGTATATGAAAAAAATCCAAAATTTAATTTCTTTTCAGGAAGTTTTAAGATATGGATTTTGAAACTCTAAAGAACTTGTATTATGATAATTGATTTAGAAGGTGCATTTATCCTTCACAATATTTTATTGGTGCAGTCATTTTAAATGGTAGAATCCACAGTTATCCATCAGACCGCTAACTGTTGATGTTACTTCAAATTGTAGTTAGCCATTATTAATATATTTAGGGGAAAAGAAGGGTTCGTTTGTTCAGCTAAATTATTTTAATCTGTTGACCACAGGCAGCTCAATTAGGTAAAATGATAATGCTATTTTTATTGTTATGACTCAAAAAAGGATTGACTCTTCTGTGTCATATGCATGGTGGTAAAATTTCCCATGAGAGTAACTTCACATAAGTCCAGGCAGAATGAAACCAAGGAATCTGGACCCTAATCCCATTATTCTAAATATATGTATCTTTTAATGATCAACTAAATTATTCTTTTATTTCAGAGATGTATATCTATGTCGCTTTTGATTTTTAATGAGAAATTTGATGTGTCAACTAGAAATTGCATCTGACTGCCCAAAAGTGTGTGTATGTAGCTCATTGAAATTCATTGTAATACCTATTAGCCACATGGACTCAGTCATTAGCTAAGCAACCCTAGAACAGGAAGGAAAAACATTAATCTTCATCATTTTTCACTTGCCACTATCCTCTCAACTTTATATGTGCTGAGGCAACAGGAGATGAAAGATCAGAGTTTTAAAGGAAATAATACTCCATGACAGTAGTTCTTCTTGAACTTCAGCAGGCATCAGAACTACCTGATGAGTTTATGAAAACGCACGTCACTGAACTCTACCCCCAGTGTATTGATTCAGTGTATTTGGGGCAGGGCCAGGTGATTTGCGTTTCTAAGGAATCTCTGGGTGATGCTGATGCTACTGGTCTGGGGACCATGCTTTGAGAATTGCTGCTCTATGCTTTTTGAAAAGGAATAAGGCCAGGTGTGGTAGCTCATGCCTGTAAT